GGTGGTCATCCTCCGCTCTGAATTTCCTGGTTGCGGGCTCCTTTTACCATCAATCGACCTGTTGGGCAGAGAGGAGGGGCATGGCCTGTCGCAGGGCTGTCTGTCTATGGGCGCACTCGGCCACTTGTGGGCACGGCCGGGAACGAGCATGCACGGGTGCCTCCATAACAGTCGCTTAGCTGACGAAGGCACCCATGTGGGGACCCACTAGTGAATGAGGAAATTAACATTTTTAATGTAAAACAACAAAGGATTTCTACAAGTATGGGCCTCCTACCTGTTTCCCCGAAAATAAGGCCTTCCCTCGAAAATAAGGCCTAGTGCTATTTTTTAGGGCTGTTACTGATTAAAATTTTCGTGTTCGATTAATCAAAATTCTTTTTAATCGATTAATTTCGATTAATTATAACGCACATACAGATCCAACTACATTGGCCTATACAGACACAGGACAGCAATGAAGTAATAACATGAACTAGGATCACACTAATCCAGCACGTTATTAATCTCACGTGCCCCACTCAATATGGCCGACGCTTGAGTGGGGCAACTCAGAATAATAACGTGCTGGATTAGTGTGATCCTAGTTCATTTTATTACTTCATTGCTGTGCTGTATGTGTATAGGCCAATGCCTTGGCTGGCGCTCGTGCAGAAAGTTTAAAAAAACATTTAATCGATCAAAAAGATTAACGATTAATCGAGAAATTAATCGTTAATTTGCACAGCCCTACTATTTTTGGGAATTGCTAAAATATAAGACCTACCCCGAAAATAAGACCTAGTTGTGACCATTCCCAGGGCCGGTGGTGGCATAAGGTGGAACTTGAAGAGCCGCGGGAGAGGCAGGAGAAACTCAGCGGTGCCAATGAAGCCAGCGCTAGAGGAAGCGAAACGGCACCGGAGGGAGCAGAGCCGCATAAGCCGATGCCTCCTCTATAGCGCTGGCTCCTGTCACAGACGGAGTGATGCCAAATGGATCCGCCTGTGAGGAATCTATAGTGAAAGTGCGCTTCGCTCATTATGGCCAGTGATTGGTGAGCAAATTCTCTTGGAAAGGTACGGCACCCCTGGTTGTCCTGATCACCATATTTGTGTGCATGAATACATGTAGACTTTTCTACATGAATAATTGTAGATTGTTGTACAATTTAAAAAAAAAATAAGACCTACCCCAAAAATAAGACCTAGTGTGTTTTTTTGAGCCAAAAAAATATAAGACAGTGTCTTATTTTCGGGGAAACACGGTATTTATAAAAATTGAACACAAATGAAGCTTTAATATTGTATTAATTTTATGCTATCAATTTGCACAAACCATTTTTTTACCCTGTGTGCATTGCAGTGTAGCTTCAAAAGGGGGAATAAAGCTTTGCTAAAGAAAAATGTATACTTTGAGCTTTACATGTCTGCTTCCATTAATAAACATCACAATAATGTGATATTTTAATTAGTGGACTTAATTGATTATATTTCAGGCTAAATATGTGGGGTGTGCAGATTATGTAAACGTTGCATTGGGAAAAATTTCATATTTTTTACTGTTTATTGCCTATATAAACCAATGAAATAAAAATATATGCATCTGTATGTCTATATTTGCTATCAATTTAAAACCCATGTGTCCAAAAAAAAGAAGATATATAATATGCTGGGGTAGACTACAAAACCTAAAAGATATAACTTGGAACCAAGGCATGGTAAAAAGAAAAAAAAAAAAAGCGCTCTGGGCCTCTGTGGCTACAAATCTTACTGCCGAAAGCCAGCATTAGGCAAATGATCTCTTATAGTTAAAGCCCAATGGGACCTTTGCTTATGCTTTCTGCTTATTTTTTAACTTTAGCTATGATTTCCCGGGTGGGGGTTTTGTTGGACCCTTTCTAAGAGATTGGTTCATCTCACAGGGAGCTGTGGTCCCGTCTGCAGTTTACTGCCCAGCCACAGGCTTTAAACAGCTGCTGGGAATGCTTTAACACCAATGCTTTTCTAGTCTTGTGGAACTATTAACAATGGAATAAAGTACAAATTATACGATGTATATTGTATTTACACATCTGTTTTCTCATATAGACAGCATAGAGGCCAATGTGGAAACTGCTGATGTTCATGTCCAAAATGCTAACCAGCAACTGGCCAGAGCAGCGGAGTACCAGGTAATGGAACCTACCTCAGGCAGCATTAATTGAATGTGGCTGCAAGTGTTTTATTGCTCTCGAATTCATCTTGGGCTGTCTGAAGCAAGGATATTTTATTGGCTTGGCTGTAAAAAAATATGAGCTATAAATACCATTATCATTTTGCTAGTTATCTTAAGCACAACCTGTGTTGCACAGAGCACGGCTTTAAATATAGTGTTTCATTTTCTAATTAACAACTGCAGACTAACCTATTGTGCTTAGTATTGGTTAAATTTCCACTTTTCTATTCTTGTAGTTCAAACATTTTAGGTAATTAAGCAAATAATAATATTTAAATAATTATATTTATTATGATTTATATATTTAATTATATTTAAATTTAGGGTTAGATCTGGTCATTGAATATAATGTTTTTTTCATTTTATTAATACAACTATCACCAATATGTTGAATTATGGCATTTAAAAATGCCTTCCGGTTGAGATTTGTTAAATGTGGCTGCAAGTGTTGATGTTCCATTGCTCTAGAATTCTAGGATTGCTGACCCTTGGAGCTTCTCTCCCCCTCCCCTCCGGTGGTTTAAGGTCCTGTGAGTCACCACGTCCTATACAATGTATAGGATGTGAGGATGCTGAGGGACATTCCATCGCTGGAGCTTAGGATGAGACAGGGTGCAAGGACTGGTCTAACAGCCAGCCGGCTCCGAGGTTTAGATGAAAACGAGCACGTAACCCTTGCAGTGCGGGGTAGCCTCACAGCAAGGGTTAAGAATAGTTCTTCTTTAATTAGTAAGTTTGTTTTAATACATTTTATATAGACATTTGAATTGTGATATATTTTATTTGGTATAAACCACAAAGTCTTAACATTTCTAACTTCTGGTAGATTGTTTTTATTTCGGTAATTGAAGGGAATAATTTTATTATGATATTGAAATGGTTTCTCACATTGATTTTTCTGTGTTCAAGCGCAAATCCCGGAAGAAGATCTGTATTATCATCGTTGTGCTCATTATAGTTGCAGTAGTTCTTGGACTGATTATCTGGGGAGCAACAAAAAATTAAAGAGGTGTCCTCACAAATGCCTTTAAATTCCAACGCTTCTTGACAAATTGGTGAAGTGGTCCTCACAGTGAAAATGAAGAAATTGAACGTGAATATTCTAAATATGAAATGTCTTACTTGCACTTTAACAGCACTGCACAGTGATGGGTTTCATAGTGTGTTAGCAGCGATAAACATCTGTAAATATGGCTTGCCACAGAATGAAATGATTAACATAGGGACACATTTCTAAAAGCTGATGTAGTTTGTGTGTCCTCACCCCTAGCACCCAATCAGAATCCTGTAATATTTTGTGTTGCAGGTTAGAAAACGCAACCCTACATATGATTGTTTTGGGCAACAGTCCTATTTTTTCTCTACAACAGTCCTTAGAAATCAGCATGTTTATATTGTATGATGCAGATAAAATGCTAATGTGTCACAGATAGCTGTCTTCAGGACCAGACTGTGTTGCAGTCCCCAGCGGTCGCTGCCACAGCTGAGTCTCTGACAGGCAGAGGAGAGGCCAGGCAATTCCCTATTGCACTGATAGTTTAAAGTGTATTTCCACTTTTGATGTCGGATATAAGAAAAGTACCAATATTGGTTTGTATATGTATGGTTATATATGTTTGGTATGTGTTCTCGTTCACACCTAAAAATAATGTTAAAAAAATGTCTTCCCTTTTAAGATGTCTCTATGGAGCAGGCATTTGAACAGACTGCAAGCTTTTCTGTACACTTTCAAAGTGACAGGAAACCTTGGCTGTCCCCATGACTAGGGGCACACTGAGCTTCTTCTCATTAATAGACAATGCAAAAAGTCAAGTGTTTAAATCTAGATTACAACTGACAGTGAGATCTGACAGCACAGTGCAGTACACATTAACCTCCTCAGCCCCCTTGCATTTCAGAGGAAAATTCAGTTTAGATAAAAACATTTCAGAAAACTGCAAGTAATATGTAAGCAGTAGGAATGCACTGATATCAAGTATTGATAACGGGTCAGCCTGGCTTCCTGATTGCCGGGGAAGACGGCTTTGTGCTCCCTCACGGCACTGCGGGGCAGCCTGGCTTCCTGACCAATCAGGAAGCCAGGCTGACCCGCCGGCCGACTTCCTGATTGGCCGGGAAGCCGGTTCCATACTTACTTGCGGCACTGCCTGTCAGAGGGAATCTCCCTCTGACTAAGCGTTCCTTTATCGGGCGAGTATTTGGCCAAATGCTCAGTATCGGCACCGATATCAATACCAGTATCTGTGCATTCCTAGTAAGTGGCATTTAAAGAGGAACTTTACCCATATCTTTGAAATGACAACAAATACACCTTTTAGATATGTTTAGTAACGGCAATCTACAAACACATACTTCTAGATCATTTCTGGCTTTTTATTCTTTGCATACCTTATTTTTCTTTTCCTCCCTATTCTTCTCACAGTGGCAATTTTTTACTAAGGGCAGATTAGTATATCTCCCTTTTTAATTCCTGGAACTCTGGCACATGTGACTAGGACCATGCACACTATCTCAGGGGAGAAAAATGCATTTCCCTGAGATGTCATGAGATTACAGATGAGATTTCTTAGCAATGCACTGGTGATGTAACCTTCCCAGGATGCAACGCTTGGGCACATTACATCACAAATGTCCAAGAGGACCAGTAAGTGGAAAAACAATAATTGTAAGTAAAAGAAAAATATGTTTATTTTAGCTAATGAATGTAAGATTATTTCATATCAGCAGAGCTGCATGCTGAGGGGATCTTTAGTGAATGGGGGTAAAGATCTGCGTTAAGTATGCTATGTAAATTAAAAAATAAATAATAGCCGTTATCCCAATTTGGCTGCAAAAGTGGAACTAAATTTTAAATAGCTTTCCCACACATGACATCAGAGAAAGTGTCCAGCTGCACTTCACAAAATGAAATTTATCAAAATTCATGCAGACAGTACCTCCTCAGATAAAGGCTAAAGTGAGTCATGTTGCAGGTTTTTAATTTAGTGCCAGTTCTTTGCTCACATTTAGCAGAATTACAAACCTGAACATTTGGTGCTTTCATAAAAATGTTAAAGTAACAGAAAAGCATAATAACAAGTTAACACAAGGGTCTTTATGTAAAATTATATTATTTTGTTAATATTTCAGTGCCAAACTGAGTTACTGATAGAGTCTCCCAAAAGTATATATATTTTGAAACTGTTTGTGTTGCTATGTAATATCTATCTGTATGTTTATCGATACAGTAACAAAGCATCATTTGGTGTATACTAATTCAGCTCCATATACCATGCGCTGCTGTGCTTAATGTACTGGTTGATGTTATGTATAATTGTGAATGAATTAAGGTAACCGTAAACTTGGTCACCTGTTCAAACTTCCAAATTCAAACTACCAAAGTCATTGTACTCCATAATAATAGTCAATGTCTATTGACAAACTATTGTGGGACGATCCTTACAGTCTACTTAACTACTTGCTAAGAATTTAAAGCTAAACTCCTGGAATTCTCTATTTTTTAAACTTAGATTTGGCCGGCTTGGTTACAGGTAACTACTCGTGTTTCACATCTGGAGGGCTGGTGGGGATGCTAAAATTTACAGTAGAAGTCTGTGTTCCATACAATCATTGCTGTCCTGTTCTGGTGATTCTGGAGCAACCTGCCGTCTGTACACTGCTCCGTACCTCAACCATTGAGCCATTCTTGTATTTTTTTCAATGAATAGCGGAATGGTGGAAGAACGGGAGCAAGTGACTTCCTGTGTTCAGTGTACAGATGGCAAGTTACTGCAGCAGCACCAGGAACAGTGCAGTGCTGACTGTATGTAGCACAGACTACTACAGTGATTTTCAGCATTCCCAGCAGCCCTCTGGATGTGACAGGTGGATAATTACATGTAGCCAAGAGTAAGTGAAAAAAATAGTTCCTGTGATTCAGCTTTAAAGATTGTAGTAGATTTTGTTTTGGACTTGCATTCCTTCTTTTCAGTGCCCAAAATGTGCCCAAAATGTTTTCTACAGTCCAAACAAATGAGTAGAATTAACAGCTATCTGCGTTGTTCAAACTCCTGTCCACAAAATAACTTGGAAGGCAAGTGGTATTTTATATTATACAGTAGATTTCTTGGGGAAAAAAAGAGCAAAAGGAAAGATGATTACTAAAACTATGTAAACATTCCACTCTAAAGTGTATATTGTTTGCAAAGTGTTTTAGAATTTATTGTCTCTCATTTTTGCAGTAGATCCACTCTGCTTCCCAAAAATTGGGTGCTAGTATAGCCCAGGAGCTTGTCCCCACTCACTATATGCAACATGAAAGCTCTGTAATGTTTCTATGATAAACCCAGGTGTTGGGAGACACAAATTGGAGTGGGAGGGATCCAGGTGGGGTCTTGTCCTGACCATCTGGATCAATAAAGCTTACTCGCATGCTGGACCCTTCAGTTGTGCTTATTTACAAGATCACGTTCAGTATCTCCCATGGCAGTTCTATATAAGCATTCATGAAAGAATGGCAGATAAGATTTGACTGCTATGGACATCATGTCTGCTTTACCTTTCTTACAGTTTTTGTATGTTAGTCTTGTTGACCTATGTGAGCATCAAAAGAGCACAGTTCTAGCTATAAAAAATAGACCTACTGCTACGGGACCCAAAAAACACAAGTCCCATTACAGCCTGGCTACTCAGTGATTTATGTATCGACAGCTTGACATGACATTGGATACAAGAAATATGTATAAATAGATATTGCAGCTTGTTTAGATTGCTTCCAAAGTGCAAACTGTAAGTCAGTCTTAGTTACTGTTTTAAAGTTGCATAATCAAAATTGTATTTTCCATTCCAGAATGGGTAGGGACAGGTGACCTATGGCCATAGGTTTCTACACTTCATTTTTGCTGTTGCCTGCCCTTTCCCCTGGCTGTAGGATTTCCCCCCTCCAATAGCTGCTGACTGTCCTTCCCACTCATGAATAGACCTTGTAAACAGTAAGATATAACAACAGTACACGGTTGTAATTATGGCCAATAACTTAATAGTTAAAGCTGAACTCTGGGCTAAGAAATATTGTCTAAACACCAGAATTGTGTATTCCTTGTTGAATCTTGGTGTCGTTCCAGATCTGTGCAGTATATCAGTGTGAAACATTGCCTCTGTGCAGAAACTTCCTGTAATAGGGACCAATCACTGACTGTTTCTCCTAGTTATATATCCACCCCCTCGTGTAGGTAGTCTGTAGTTGGCGAGGTCTGCTGGGCCCCTCAAACAGTTGTGCTCTCTGCACAGGCTGTGTATGGGATCATTGGGATGATGTCAGTGCTACTGTTGCAAAGTACTAACTGGGCTTGCAAATGCATTTCATGCACACAAAGTGGATTGGTATTTGTGGCTATTGAGGACTATGTTTAAATTAAAGTATTTGTGCCTTCGGTTTATTTTTAACTGAACATTCTATGTTTTAAAGACCACTATTCCCTTCAAGAACAAATGAAATAGGTGCAGCCATGGCCTTTTAACGTACACCAAGTATAGTTGCCAATACCTGAATACACCTTAAACAATTTACTAAGGAGCCAAAATATGTGTTACTATATACTGCATGATTTGCCCCCAAAATCTTGCCAATGTGAACCGAATAGATGAAGACTTCCCTTTTGACTTGAATAAAAACATTTTCCAGGAGTTGCTACACTTTAGTTCACCCTGGTCTACATTCCCTTTTGTAAACTGTACTCCCTAACAATTATGTTTTAGTATGTACAGACTTTAGTTAGAGCTTAGTTTTTGGACTATAGCACCATTTTTTTAAATCATGTGTTTGTGTTAAACACAGTAGGAAGTTACTCTGTGGTGGCATCATGCATGAGAGCCGGACCACTACACTGCACAGAGCACTTCAGTCCATGTTTCCATCAGTCTGCCATGCCCCTGCACAGTACTTCAATCCACACCTGTCCTTTCTGAGCAGGTAATGTCCTTCGTGATGATTGGAGCACTGCATGGGGCTATGTCAGACCACTGAAGACCAGGACTGATGTGTTTTGTGTGAGAGCAGCAGTCCAGCTGCTGCTCTCGCACAAGCAGCAGTAGGGCAGCTTCCTACTTTTTTGAGCACAAACACTGATGCCTATTTCTTTGTATGTTATGTAGCATGAGTGCTAAATTCTTTACTTGTTACACAGCCTGACTGCATGACAAGAAAAAAATGCAAGACTTAGGCTTTAATACACCTGAAATCTCCTACAACGTAAGCCGCTCAAAGATCTGTGTGCAGCTAGGCATGACAATCACTTATGTGACCAGTTGGCCTGGCAGCATGGCCTGTCTGATTTATTTCAGCATTCTCCATGATAAGACACAAGATTCCAGCTTCTGGCCAGATCTTTCACACCAGGACATACAAGAGTGATAGTTTTTACTTATTACAAAGCTGAATGAGACAATGTAGATAGTAACATTTAGAATTATTTTATTTTTTTTCCATCCCACTTTGAATTTAGCATTAGTGCAGTTTTCTTCCTGGTGCAGATTTATAGAATATATGCCAAATTGAATTGCTTGTTTACAGATTGTTCTTTTTAGACTGTTAAGCAGATGTGGAGGTTTGTAACCGCTGTGAAGTAAAATGAACTGAAAAGTGCCACTACACATTATTGATAGTTATAAAAACTGTACTGCGTTTCGGTATGTATGTTGTAAAAATAACGTTGCTTAATCTAAATCCATTAACAAGCGCATTTTATAAACAGTCTTTCTGATTTCAGGTCTGATTTCATTGTTCTGTTCAAATTCAGGAACATGTGTGAAGGTGTATGAATATTGTAGGACATAATAACATCTTCTGTGATCTAGTTTATCTGTGCATAGAAGTTGGACGCATGTTCTTTGCCCATAATTTACTTAGGTGGAGGGAAGTGTCTATTTTGAAATGATTTCACACAAGATTCCTACAACTTTCACCCATGATTCATTCATTTTTTCCAATGGAATCCAATTGGAAAAATGTGTGAATCTTAAGTAAAAGTTGTGTGAAAAAATATAAATAGATCACTTGTTGGAAGATTACCTATATTGGTTTTATTTACAACGGGTACCATGCTGTATATAATTGAATGATTTTGCTTGCTATATCATAATTTTTTTTTAAAAGGACTGTTCAATTTATTGTCTACAATATAGAAGCAATGCTACCTTCCATAATGACAAGTCACATATTTAGGCTGCATGCTAAATTGTGATTCATTTTCTCATTACATGTTCATATGTTTATACATTCTATGCTTGATTTAAATATAAATCGTAAGAAAACCCCAATATGTGCTCTTGCTTTTGGATTGAGGTTAACATAATATGTAAAGTCAGTGGAAAATGTATTGCTGTAAAATGGAGTGTATTTTATAAACAGATTTTGTTTGTTTTTTCTAGCACATTTATCTCTGTACTGTTAAATACAATTGAAATTATGTCTATGAAGTTAAAACCAATAAAATAATCATTAATTATTTACGCATTTGCACGGGTGCCTATCATTGCACACTTATAGGTGCAATCCATTGCAGCTGACCTGCATATGGAGAACACAACCCCTCTTCCCTGTGCTTCAGTTGGTAATCCCAGGCGTGGCTGTAGTGCGCCAGTCCACCCCACTGCTTTTGGTTAGCAACCTGGCTATCTTGGGATGCCTTTTGCATTTTTAAATAACATGAGGTATGTTATTTAAATGTACTTATGTAATAAAATAAAGTCCATTTTAGGCTTCCTGCTGTTTCTCCCAAAAGGAAACATCAATATGAAGGACTTGCTTACAGATACCAGTTAGATTTAAACTTTCCTTGAATGTTTTTAACCAGACATCAGAAAGACTTCAGGAAACAAGACCTTCCTATCCCAAACATGTGGCAATCTGGAAATCTAGCAGTAATATATTCTGTAGAACCGAGATCAAGGTATCTTTAGCACAGCTACACAGTTTCCTGAATAGCATAATTAGTTCAGTAATCAATATCAATTTATTTTCTGTTGTTGCTTTCTAATCAACATTTAACATTACCTATCAAGCCCAATTTTCTTTTCAGTTTTAACATTGTACACACTGCCAAGGTTATCACATGGACCAAAATTGCATAATGTGTGCTGATTTATTCTTTTTTTTTTTAACAAAAAAAAGAGTTGATTTTTACTATGCACAGAGATATGTACCTGCCAAATGCTCAGTTTAAGGCAGGGGTCTCAAAGTACCGGCCCGCAGGCCAACTCTGGCCCATGTACAATGTGACCCACAGCCAGCTGACAAGCCGGGCACACGGTCACTGACAGCGTGCCCGACTTGCAGGAGCAGCTACACGGTCTGCATCGCTGTTGGATGCAGACCACAGAGCTGCTCCTGTCGACTCCGGCCGAAGCTCTGTCAGTTCTGAGCTCCAGCCGAATGATGGATGAATAGTAAGGTCTGCACTAGACCTTACTAATCACCACTAGATCGATGATGTGCCTCCTCCCTGCACAGATACAAGCAGGTGAGGGGGCTTGGAAGGAAATGAGGGAGTATTATATGTGTGCTGGGGTCTTGGGAGGGAGGGGGGAATTTAATGTGTTCTGGGGGCTTGGGAGGGAGGTTTTTTTTATGGGAATGGGGGGGGTCCCCTATATTCCAGGTGCGATTAGGGATTCCTGTGTCACAAACTTGTGTTTTCCCGCAGCGGGGATCCCTAATCTGGAGTTTACATGCAGCAACTGTCACCCATTCAAGTTAATGATCAGGTGACAGCTGCTGCATGTAAACGCCTGCATACCGCATGTAATCGTATGTGATAGGATTACATGCAGTTACAAAAACAATCACTATCCCTGGATACACAATTTTGTATCCAGGGATATTGATTGATTCCTAACTGCCTGTAATCATATAAGAAAGGATTACATGCAGTGTGCAGGCATTTACATGCAGCAGCTGTTACCCGATCATTAATTTGAATCAGTTGCCGCTTGTAACATGTGCATACGTTAAAACTGGTACCGTATATAGTAGCGGCCCCCACGGGACTAAAAAATGTGTCCAGTGGCCTCCGACTAAATTGAGTTTGACCCCCTGGTTTAAGGTATAGGAAAGGAGTACACATATGCAGGATTGCCCAGTGAGGCAACATGGACAGTGCTGTATTTTCTGATTGAGCTACTGTACATGCATTTCTCCATACAAAAAAAGAGAGAGAGTCAATATATTCCTACTAAGAGGACCACATGGTAGCATGATCAGTCCACATAGTACAATCTACAATTCCTGCTCATGGGGCATAAAATAACTTTAAGCAGATGGGGTGGCAATGTAGGGTCCTGTTTCTCATGTAAGTCTCCCATTGGCCTCTGATCATTGATCCCCCATTGATCTCTTAGCAGGTGTGTGAGCGACTATGGCAATAGTTCCACCATTGTTTGTATACAATACACTGCATTTCTATCAGTATCTTTTCTGATTCCCATAGATGTAAGACTCTAGTACTGACTTTATATCCTGATTTCTTAGAGTGTACACAATTGGATTAAAAAGTGGTGTAATCACAGTGTACAATAGAGACAAGCTCTTATTAATATTCAGAGAGGAAAAGTTTGTTGGTACAACATATACGGCAAAGAGGGTTCCATAGTACAGACATACAACAATCAAGTGGGAACTGCAGGTGGAGAAGGCTTTCTGTCTTCCAGTAGTAGAAGATATCTGTATAATATTCAGAAATATAGAAATGTAACTTCCTGTAATGAACAGAAATGGGAAAAGAACTATAGGAACAGAACACACATATATCTCCAATTTTACTATAGATGTGTCTGAGCAAGAAAGTTGTAGAATGGGAGCCACATCACAGAAGAAGTGGTCAATGATATTTGAGCCACAAAACTGAAGGCTACATATGAGAACCAGGGAGACCAGGGTGACTATTAAACTTAGCAACCATGATGAAATAACAAGTAGAGTTTGAAGAGTTACATTCATAATGGCAGTGTACCGTAATGGATGGCAGATGGCCAAGTATCGATCATAGGACATGGTGGTGAGAAGAAATGATTCCGTACTTGCACATAAGCCAAAAATGTGGTATTGGACAATGCAGCCAGCAATGGACACTCTGCTGCCTTCATGTAGTATAATAGAGAGCATATTTGGCAAAATAGTTGTAGTAAAGATGATATCACAAAATGACAAATGACTGAGGAAGAAATACATGGGAGACTGGAGGATTCTACTTAAAGAAACTAAAGTAACGATCAAAAGGTTCCCACTGAGAGAAACAACGTAAACTACTAAAAGAAGCGCAAATAATATCCACTTGTAAAAGGATAGATTCCTGAATCCCAGGAGGAAGAAGTCCAGAATGACTGTATTGTTTTCTGGCATGGCTCTGCCTGTAGGAGGAAAGTATGGACAAATATATGTACTTCACCAACTCTATGCTTAAAGAAGGAGGAAAGGAAAACAGAATGAACGTAAGGATGCATTTGTGACAGATAAGGTTGCAATCTAAAGGGCTGACCAGTCATTTAAGCACACACATACACACTTTAGGAGCACCTTATTTTATACAAATAAACTATCTTGGCCCATTTAAATTGAATGTCCTTAGTAATGGAAACAGATACCAAAGGTTTCCTGCTGGGTCTGAGTGAAATGCTTTTTTAAAAAAATCTTATTAACCTCTTCCTGTCCAGCGGCCATACATAAATGGCTGGACGGGAGCCTTCTAGATGCAAGTGGACGTTTTAAAACTTTCCCCGCCCCCACTTTCTATAAAGAGGACCTGTCACTAAATTAACATGTGCCTATGTGCGAAAATGACAACTGCGCCCATTGTATCACATATGTTACATATCACCCCAAATGTCGGAGCGTGAGCAATAATTCTAGGGCCATTAATCACTGTTAACACTAAACTGATGAGCGGTAAAAGCTTTGCATTGCCTATGGCCAATTCTGGGTATGGTAGTTTTTTCGTGGGCGTGTGCAATTTTAAGGCTTAACATGTTTTGTGCCTATTTACCCGACATGACCCCATCTTTTATATTTTACCAAAAAATTTGGGCAATAATAAATGTTTCATAATGTAGGGTAAACATTTTTTTCCAAAATTTTCGGTACTTTTTTGTTATATAGTAAAAAATGAATACCCCAGTGGTCATTAAATATCACCAATAAAAAAAATACTACAAATCAAAACTGGGAAAAAAAGTTTTTTTTAACGTTTTTTCCTCTTTTTTTAATTTGTATTTGTCCTAAGTGAGGCGTTAGACACACATATGTGATATAAATATATAGCCCTATCTGTCCTCTAAAAAACAATATATAATATGTGTGGGTGCACTTTGTAAGAAAGTATATTACTGACGTGGAAGAATCACACAGCAAAAATGTCAAAAGTGTGTCAGTCATTTACGAACAGAAACGAAAAGGTCATGAAGTCATGAAGGGGTTAAAGACTGGACTGTCAGCTGAAAATCTGGGTCTGAAAGTGCGAATTGTGGCCGTGACTAGTCAATGTTAGGGCAGAATGGAGAATGTCAAGACATGTTGAGTGTTTGAACTCGCATATGCTTGCACCAGATTTATGTTGCTAGTGTAATGTTGTTCATAAATTAGGGTAAATAGACTCCAGGAAAGAAGACTTGCAACTCCAGGCTAAAAGTTTAACTGTCGCTTCCTGAAGAAGTGGTCGAGGGGACTTCTTAAGTAGCGATTGTTTTTTTTTTTAGGTAGTGCTCCAGTTTCAGACATCCGCAGGGCAAGTGCAGATGTAAACAGTTGCGAACTTTCGCAAAACGCACACAAAACGCATGCAAACTGAAAAATAGTGCAAGCTCTGATCAAAACAGGCCAGGCACAAATGTTAAAAGGAGAGGCTAAACAGATTTGCACATAAAAAAAATGTATCGAAGAGGCTAAAACAGTCGCAATTGCTTTGATACATTTCCCCCCATTGTGTTTTTAAAAGTGTAGTAATCCTTTAAGAAAATGTTTCTGTTTATGAATATGTGCAATAGGTAGAACTTACCTTTTCTGGTCTTTTGCAGGATATGCTCATAGTTTGTCCTATTTAGGCAATCAGTTATACATTATTTCCCATCAATCAGTATAAATAACTCCCTTATACATATCAATGATTATCCATGATTTCTTCTTCTGTTATATATAACATATTTGAATCATTAGGGATTTGTTGTTCCACAGGGATTACCATTAATTTCTCTTGTGATTACTAATGATCATGAAAGAAATATTTTGCAATGATCATTTTGCAATGATCACAGTAACAGTTTAATTTTTTTATTGCCATTAACAGTTTGACTTGGTAAGAAAATTACCCTCCTGAAAATAAATTCCAGTTCCTGAAAGCTTAGTTATCAATATGAATATGAAATATAATAGCTCATATCATGCAGTTGCAATATTGCATGTTAGGTGATATTATCATATTGCATGTTAGGTGATATTATCAATATTGCTGGATTAATTCCCATACAACTGTACCATCTGATTCAAAATGATATTTTACTAGTTGAAAATAAAATGTAGGCTTTAAAATGGAATTCATTTTTCATCCAACCCAAGCAGGTGAACAGAAAGTACTACATGGTCCGGAGTGCTCCTGCAATGTAAATGGAGCACTCCCATTGGGTTTCCATCACCTTAGGAGGAAGACTAAAGAACTTGTGGAGACTGGACATGCAGATACCAGCCTGATTCATAAAGTTTTTTTCTTTCAAGTGTAAATCCCAACAATGAACTTCTCTTTTTTGCTATCCTTTGGTCTCTTGAATTTAACATTTTGTAATATCTGTTCAATAAGTGCAGGTAAGTCCCTGTTGCTTCTGCCAGAAATCCAGTGCACTTCTTGCTTGTAGCGAGCTGCATTGAAGATTCTAATATTGTTATCAGCTCTGCCTCAGGTCACTGTGTGGACTACAGACTACCTCTCCTATGTTATGAAGATGATGAGAGGGAGATGCGTTGTATTGCAAGTGCTTAGAAGGAACAGGCTGACAATAGATGAGAATAGAGTGAGCTAATCAGTAGTCTGCTTCTACTTGAAGGGTAATTCCACTTTCCCAGGTGAATTTGGGAAAATGGAATTACCTCCACCAATCTGCCCCCTCTCCCACCGCCGCTGCTCTTACCTTTAACCAAATGCTCCTTCCCCTCTGTGGCTGCTTATGTACTATGGTCAAGCGCTTCTATTGGTCAGTTCTCAATGAGAGCTGGCCATTTGCAAGCAAAATTTGAAATACAATACAGAATACAGAGAGATAGGGGAAGGAGCGTTTGGTTAGCGGTAAGAGCAGCAGTGGGGGGGATGGGGGTGGCAGAGGAGCGAGAAAGAGCAGGTTGGCGGCAGCAATTCCATTTTCCCAAATTCACCCGGGAAAGTGGAATTACACTTTAACTGTCCAATCAGCAGTCTGGAGTCAGAAAGGTGACCAGGCTTTGTAGCTTATCTGCATGTTAGGTAACCAACCTGGCTGTGCTGTATGGCAGGGCTGTGTACATCTCAAGACCAGATCCACATACATTCTACTCATTTGATACAGTAGGTGAAACAGCTCACACATATGTATTTCATTTGTGTGTGTAGTAGAATTTAAGAATGACTTTAGAGTATTTCTAAACCCAATTCCTAACATCTCATATAAGCTTTAAGGTGTTATTGTAGTTTCAAAAGTTGTTTTTAATCTTTTTAATTCTGAGCTTTCAATAAAATAATATTAGGTGCTCTAGCCATGAAAGACATGGTTCTGGCACCTCCTGTTATAGTGTGACAACTCCCCCAATTGTGTTCCTGTGTTGACACCCTGTTACATGCACCACGGTTTAGATTACATGGCATTGCCAATATACATTGCACAATCAATGATTCAACATTGTCACTTTAAGGAAGCTGGTCCACAACAAAGATGTGCAGCTGATGAAGTAGTTAATGTATGTAGAGAGAAAGTTGCTAAAAAAAAAGCCTTGAAGAAATCAATTGCATTTAGATGCAATAACATTTTCTTATAAATACATGATATCAAAATATATATTAAAAGTATACTTATATCCAATTCTGCATACCTGGCTTTATATTATAAAGTTAATATAAAGCCAGGTATGCAGAATTGGATATAGCTGTGCCACACTACAGAGTGTTCATGTTCTTCATAATATTAAGAAACTGACCTAAAATCATGATTTTGTATTGCTTTAGAAAAAATGTGACCCGTCCCTTTAAGAAAAAGTATCGGTAATTGGTATTGGCGAGTACTTGAAAAAAAGTATTGGTACTCGTACTCGGCCTTAAAAAAGTGGTATCGGTGCATCCCTACTAAAAATGTTAAGGGATTTTAAATGGCGGGTAAATGCTTCACTCCTGCTGCTTCTATACCCTCTGCTTAATAAAACTTTGCCCTTTTTATTTTTTTGTTCTGGACCCATGGCTTCAAATTTCATCTGCAATGCCACCTACAAAAGAAACCTAGCATTGCAATCTAACCTTTCAAGTATAAAATAATGCAACTGATGTTGGGGTCCAGCTGCTGTTTCTTATGAGGAAAGTAGGAGGGATAAATACTTTGTGTTACCATATACACTGCCTGTCCAAAAAAGTCTCACACTAATATTTTGTTGGACTGCCTTTAGATTTGATTACAGCATGCAATCGCCATGGCACCGTTTCATTAAGCTTATGCTTATGCGATGTCACAACATTTAATTCCATCCAGAGCTGCATTAATTTTTTCTAATGATAATGAGAGAGTGCAACCACTGTACAAAGTCTTCTCCAGCACATCCCAAACATTCTCAATGGGGTTAAGGAATGGGTTATGTGTGGTCAGTCCATGTGTGAAAATGATGTCTCATGCTCCCTAAACCAGTCTTTCACAGTTTGAGCCCAATAAATCCTGGCATTATCATCTTGCAATATGTCTGTGTCATCAGGGAAGAAAGAATCCATTGATAGAAAAACCTGGCCATTCAGTATATTTAGGTAGACAGCTGACCTCATTTTTTGGGGACATCATTTTGTTGAACCTTGACCTATCATCCAGTGGAAGGCTCTTACCTATTTGCTTAGCTAAATCCAAGTGGTGACTTTTTTTGTCGGGCAATGTATAAAAGTTAGAAACAGTAAGTAAAAAGGAAGCAAATTCCGACAATAAAATAGAAAGCAGAAAGTCAGGATAGAGCAAAAAGAAGTAGGAAAGAAATGAGAGAGAGAGAGGAGAGATGGAAATCACAAAAAGAAGAGTACTGGGGGAGAATAGAGGGATCAAACTCTCCCCTCCTCCTTCGCTTCCTTTTTACTTACCTAAATTATTTTCTTTAAAGGAGAACTATGACATGAGTGATTTCCACTCACCTCATAGTTCTAA